CTTTCCACATTATCCATTTTCTACTAAAGAAAAATAGATATACCACTTGATTTGGAAGACGACCTAGCCTAAAACCATTGATCGTGCCAAAATGACCGTCATGCCCGATGCAAAATGTGTCGTTATATACGTTAGTCCTTTGGAGTTTTTCAAGTTGCCTGGCGTCATGATCGTATTTCAAATTGACACTATCTCTTTCATTTTGGAATGTTTGGAGCTGAATGTGAAAATCATTGAAAAAAACTTTATTTTCTAATGAAACAATTTTTTAGTTATTCAGAAATATTATATAACATTAATATAAGAGTTTATAACTATTTTGCTATATATTAAAAAACTGATCAAAAATTTCATATAGAATAGGTTTTGTTATTGTGATAAGACTAGTTTTTTTTTGTTTTTAAAGTATTATAGATAAATTATTTTATATTCCAAAAATATATCAAATATTAAACAAAAAGTAATATTTTTAATAAAATAATAATATTACAATTGCAAATAATTTTACTTTGTTTTTTTTTTATACTAAGCATATAATATATATTGTTAAAAATTTTCTCAAAAAAAATATTATAAGTCATTAATTGATTATCCAATAGCTCTGATATCAATTTTATAAAAAATTTATAAAAAATAGTTAACAAAAATATAAAGAAATAAATATCAAAAGTTTAGTCAAAATTAGAATATTTATGGTAAAGAAATAAAAAAATATTCCATTAAATATTATAGTTAATTTGATAATTCGATTAAAAAAATATTATTTTAAATAAAGATAAATGTATTGCTTATTAATTTTTTTTAAATAAAAAATTGTTGCTTTAAGCCTTTTTAATAATATATTAAATATATAATTTTGTATAACTATTGTAAAGTAATAAATAATTAATTTAATATAAAGACTTTAATAAAATAAATAATAATAATTTAAATTTTAGAAATCAAATAAAATTGTTAATTGGTTTTATTACTGTTGATATGATTTTTAAAATTGTTAAATTAATTACAATTAATTTTTTATATTAATTAATTATTTTATTAATTATATTAAATAATTATAATAAATTATGATGTTATTATTTTAAACTTAAAATTTAAAATTTTTTTGTTTTAATATAAATATTAGAAATCAAATTAGTAGATTTGTTTTTAGTAATAAAATTTATAAAATTTATTAATTCTTTAATATTTATATTAAAATAAAAATAGTAGCATTTTAAAAAATTTAAAAATGTTATGTTTAAAGATAATGGACACTATATTAAAAAATTTAAAAAACTATTTATAATATAAAGAAATTTATCAAATAAATAAATTTTTTAAAAAACAGTCAAATTAATTATAACAATAAAAATTCAATTATCAATTATCAATAAGAAATAATTATATATAAATAATTTCTATTATATATATTTATGGGTAAAATGATAATGAATAAAGGACATGACACGATATCACCTAATGCATCAATTATACATCAGTGTGACTAAATCTTCAACAATTTGAAGGGTTGTATATGACTTGACATTATATTAGTAGACATGTTGTGGGTAATATAAGTGGCAATAGAATTGAATTGTAGAAATGGCAGTTAATAAACTGTACTTGCACAATGATAATTAGTAAACTTATCTAAATTGAACATTTGTCGATCCAGAAGAATTGTACAAAAGATTTGTAATGAAGATAATGAAGATAGGAATCAGACAAATAGTGAAGAAAGTTAGTAGATTTTTCAAGTCATATATATCTCATCAAAACCAAACTAACCTTATTGTTACAATAAGTATTGATTTTAGATTTGTGACAGACTCACCAATAACAATAATATTTAATGGTAACTGAAATACTCATAAGAAGCACTCTTTTTATCCTATGATAAAGTTTGTGTATATCAAAAGTAAAAATCCTTAATTAATGACAAACAATTGTAACAGAAAACATATTCACCAAAATGATACGTTACTTTTCTTGGAACCCATGATACATCCATTATTGTCTTGACAATAAAATAGACTTCAGAATGGACAAAATGATGAAAGGTAATTATCTGGTTAACATAGTAACTTCTCTAAAT